CCCCAAAACCCCAAAACCCCAAAACCCCAAAACCCCAAAACCCCTTATATCTTTACTAAATTTGAGTTATAAACGTTCGCTATTCTACACCAGCCAGCTGCTCATTTAAGATCTCTGAGTAGATCTCGAAGTAGTACAGTAAGAAGGGAGCAGCCATTAAGACTGAATCTATTCTGTCAAAGATTCCTCCATGTCCTGGAAGGAGCTTTCCTGAGTCTTTGACTCCTGCTCATCTCTTCAGGAATGATTCAAGAAGATCTCCAAGAATTGAAAGAATTCCGATTCCAAACCCAAGGCAGAGGTAATCTTGAAACGAAAGATAGCTTGGATAAATAACTATGGGTATAAACATTTGTCTTACATTTTGTGAGGTAATCTGCCTCTATCTTCATCATGAGTCCATTAAGTATTCAGAAGAATATTCCTCCAAGTCATCCTTCCACAGTTTTGTTGTAGTAAAACCCGTTAATTGGAGTTCTACCGAATTTTGATCCAAAAATAAGAGCACCGTGGTCGGTCTGGAAGACTAGACAAAGCCCGATGAATATTAGAACTGGGTACTTATAGTACAGGATGCCATAGAATCAAAATCAGAGTCCGAAGAGGGTGATTCCTATAACTTCGAGGCAGATCTCAAATAAAGTAGCTTGAACGAGCAAATTCCACTTGGTATCTTTTCGATCTCTGATATCTCCTGCCATCGAAGTCATACTGAATATCTTCAGAATGAATGTGAACAATATCGAGAGGATGAACAGGGGATATAGGATAATCAGAGGTCTTTTATACTCTCCTAGGAAGAAATAAATGGTTGCAAGCAGCCATCCTCACTGAAAATGAATGTTGTATTCAAGGATATATTCTACATTAACTCCTGCTTCTTTCTTTGTCTTGTTAAACACTGATTTTCGAAGTTCAACTACCGATGGAATAGCTTTAGAAGGTATTAGACTTACTCTTAGTAGTTTAAAAATATGCGAACATTTAAAATTAGTGAAAAATATTCACCAAGAAACTTACCCAGGATCACAATGTTCTTAGCAATCTGCCTATACTCAAATATACCCAGATGCATGACTATCTGGGCAAGAATGATGGAGCTGAGAGGGTACTGGAGGCCGACCCCTACTGTGCCAAGAAGTACAAAAGCGGTCGCCCACCTTCTGAGGTAATTATTCATTTTCTAAATTTGTATTAATTTATTAAAAATCTTTCTCGGGGTTTTGGGGTTTTGGGGTTTTGGGGTTTTGGGG